TTGTGAGCACCCCCGCTCGCCCGATCAAAGATCGGCCTCTACTAACCATGATATCGAGTTTTGAAAACATTATATGTGAAAGTAATGTGTTTTGTTATGAGTTATAGCAATTTGAATTAAGTTTTGAAAACTCTTTTCAAAACTCATAACCAAACAAATTTTCTTACGTCACATGTCAAATCAAACTTTCAAAACTCAATTCTACACTCAATTCAAAACTCAATTCCACACTCAATTCAACACTTTATTAAAAAACAATAACCAAACAAATTTTCAACACTCAAATCATAATTCTAAAACACACAAACTCAAAATACAACTCATATTCTCAAATCATAGTTACAAAGCTCTACCAAACGGAGCCTATAACTTTTAGTTTTGAAAAAATTATTTTAGATTGTTTGGTTAAATTTTTTTTTTAAATAATTTTTGATTCTAAAAACTTATTTTAATTTAAAAAAGTTGATTCTGAGAAGCTGTTCATCTCTTACTTCTGATTATGAGTTTCTACTGTGAATATGCTAATTTAGATTATATTCTTAGATTTTTTTTATTTTTTTTAAAATAAAAAAAGACTCAAATGAATTATAAATTATTATTATTATTTTTTTTATGAGGAATGTAGATAAGCAGTGAATAACAAAAAATAAAAATTAATTGAAAAAGCTATTTCGCAACTTATTTAACAAACATTACTCAGCAACTTAAATCTATAATCCAACAGTTACACCAAACAGATTAACAGTTTCTGATTAAAGTCATAATTTACAATCTGTTAAGGTATAATCTATAATATGTTTTAACAGTTATACCAAACGGGGCAATAAAATGCGCTTGTGGGTATATATATCTCTCTTCCTTGAAAAAGAACAAGAAAAGGAAAAAGAAAGAGAACAAAATGAGAAGAGTGAACGTTTTTGTGTAGCTCTTTGGTTGAACTTCTTTTTCTTGTTCTATATATAATATATCTAAGGTCATCATCCAAGTGCCTTTGAAGCTTTAGTAGTCTGAGGTCAAGTTTAGGAACTTGTAAAAGAATTAAAAAGTCAAAAAGTTATTTAAAAAGTTAAAAAGTTAATACTATTCAACAAAAGTCAACAATTATGACTGCACAACTCCCAATTCGAATTTTTCTTTACACATCAATTTTTACAATTTTTTATTACACATTTTTTCATAAAAAGTCAAAAAATTAACCCAAACATCCATATTTTCAACCTCAATTTTTTAGTATAAAAAGATAAAAAGTACACTTATTTAGGATGTCCCAAACAACCCCTTACTATTGAAGAATTGGTATAATATTTGCATGTGTGGAGGACTCGAAATTAAGCAAGACAATTTT